CCCCCCCCCCCTACTCTTTTACCAACCTGCTGATTAAGCAGTCTTCCCTGATGAACAGCTTCTTATAGCTGACTAGTCTAAAGCAAGATTCATGCTTGAAGTTAGGATATGCTAGAATAAGTCTTGTCTCTTTACAGGTGAAGTAACTGCTGTAGTGTAATTTCTTACACTATCTCTAAACCCGTGAGTATATTGACTAAACTGTTGGAGTGCTACACAAGCGTGTAACTGGACTTTTAACAACCCTCTGGCATTGTGCTTAAAGTGAAGCTTTTGCCTTTTTTAAGAAAGAGTAAGGGAGTTTTTTTAGAAATTATGTACTACCATGTCTGCCTTGGAAAAGTAATAAATCACAGCAGAAGAATAATTGAGGGGAAGAAACAAGCATCTTGTATATGTGATAGGCTATTTGGACTTAAGCTTATCCCAGTGGTTACCCTGGCTTTTTTTTTTTTTTTTTTTTTTTTTTTTTTTTTTTTTTTTTTTTTTTTTTTTTTTTTGTCCTGCAATTCAAAAAATTGCAGATGATAAATTCAATAAGATATTGTAAGCAGCTGTCCTGAGATATGACTACCTGCAACTAACTTAGCTGAAATCAAAATCTCAGTTGGATACTACTGCCTGTTCACAATTTGTTGGATATTTATAAACAATTACTAAGAGACTATCAGTGCCATAAACTTTTTTCTGAGAGCATCTAACATTACTCAAACAATTTGGTTTAAAGTGGGCCCTCTCCCTTCCTTCACCTACTGTTTCTTCTGGTTCTTCCAGAAAACAATGTCTGCAATAATATAATAAAGCCTAAACAGGGAATTGAAGCCATCAGTCAGGAGAAATGTTAAGTCACCTCTCTAAAATGTCAGCCTTCATCTGTGTCTCCTCTTGGTTGGCCAGACTGAGGCTAAGCAAGTAGTCACTGAGGTGGTAGACAACAGCTGGAACACTGTTGTGGAGAAGAGTAGGACAGGCATTAGAAGTTCAGAAGAATCTGCAAGTTTGGGGTGATGAGGGGCCATGACGGTCTCAACAGCAGTCTGATCTCAAGTCCAGTGCCAAACTACAGGTGTCCATAGCAGGATAGTGGTATGAGGAGGAGGACTTGGTAGAAGGATTGGCAGCTTGGTGTTAGCTTTGTTTAGCTTGTGCTGACTGACAGTTCATTAGGAAATTCCTGTGAAAAAAAGATGTAGTTGTTTCAGATACAGCAGATAAAGTGAAATTTTTAAGTGTAATTAGGAAAGATGAACTTACTTGTGCGTGCACATATTTCACTTTGTAGTTAATAAATTAGTCTGATAGAACAGTTGTATAAAGAACTGATTCAGCAATTTTATTTCCTGCAAGTCTGTCAAGGAGCTCTAGGCTGCAGCTTTGTTCAAAGCCTATATAGGGGTAATGTATCACTAAATATACTATTTAGGCAAATCTGGACATACTAGGTCAAAGCAAAGATAGATGTAAAATTCATAGTTGAATGTGTTTCTCCTTATTTTCAACCCAAATAAAAGAAAAAAAAAATGCTTGTCCTGGTTATTAAAACCTATTCATAGGAGAGATGGTGTCTACCTGTGGAGCACTTCTTGTGGCTTTACAATTTAAGATAAGGAGAAAATATTTTTATACCAGTATAGGTGAATTTTGACTGTATGCTTTCCTCTTAAACTTTTATTCTTCCCTGAGGCATTCATCCCATCTGCTGAATTAGACAAGAATTGTATAAACAGAAGTGGGAAGTGGTTGTGTAATTAGAGTCCATCACAATGTAAATGTTTCTCCAGAAGACTTAATTCAGGTCATCTCAGCAAGCCTCACTGGCATAGTTGGCATTTATAATGCCTGACTTTGCTACCTGTGTTTATTGTTACCTGTAGTTGTCTGACCCTGTTGCAAGGATTGAACTTTTTTTGCAGGAGCCTCTCTTCCTTTCCCTCCTCAGTGTTCCACAAATGTTCTCCTGAGGCAGAAGCTGTTGCCTCAGGAGGGTTTAGAGATGTCTGCCAGTTTGAGTCATCGGGCAAATTAAGCTTTCAGCCAAATGTGTATTTATGTAATAACTGCTCTTTCTACGCTACTACCTTTGTTCAGTATTGCAAACTTGTGTCTGCTGTGAATCCCCTAGATGTGGACTGCTGAATCCCCTAGATGTGAACGGCTGAACTCTTTTGGCAAGCCTGAAGTTTGAGAAGAGTTTGACTTTATTGCTCCTCTACCTTCTCCCCTTTGAAATTCATTTCCTTGGACAACTCTTGGGGAAATTCAGCTACTCAAGTGGGAGGTGGCTTTAGACAGCAACTGGGAGTTGGCTGTGTCCTCTGTCACACTGTTATTTTTAGGGAAACAGGTTTCCCTTGAGTATTCACTATTCTGTTGAAACAATAATGTGTTACTCAAGCATTTTTCTGATTATAAAGAATATTGACCTCTATTATTCTGAATTTGGGATTAAATTATGTGCTGAGACTAGCAATTTGTAAATTCTTTTGGGTTTAGTACCATCATATACAATGGAAGAGGCAGTTTGGTGGACAAATATATTCTCTGAAGTACAATTGCCACTTTTGTTTGTAATTTTGAGTGCTTTTTGATAGTCTGTTTTATAGCACAGATATTTTGAACTGCAGAAAGACTGTCTAAGAAGTCTTTTTTTTCTGGGACATAACTCAGGAGGATAAGTGTATGCCTCTCTGTTCTTTCAATGTGGAATAGTCATCAGATTGAGAAATTTGTATGTTTAGAAACCAAAACAAAAGCTAGAGCTAACAGAGTCAGTTGGATTAATACTAATGAGTAATGCCTCTGTTTCCTTCAGTGTCTTACTCATGTTCTCTTGAATATTTTTAATGGGCTTTAAGCATGTAGTGTTGTGAATCAGGGTGATCACTGCAATCTAAAACAAGATAACAAAAATTATTTTTTCAAAGTGGAAAATTTGCTACTGTGATACTCTAAAAGACCTGTATTTTGACTGCACTGTATAGACCCATTCTTAAATACGTGATAATGCTTTATTTGTTCTTTATTTTTCCACTTTCTGTAGTCCATGTCTGTATGCTTGTGCTTATGTTATGAACAACTGCATAGTGCACAAGCAAATCTTCATGATGAAGTGGTTGGCTATTTCATTAATATAGGTCTTATTCTTGAGGAAGAAGACCTCAAAACAGTCTGAAGATCTTTCAGAAGATGCTCCCTGTAATGAATCCTAGTTACTCTGTTTGTTCCTGTCTGCTGACAAGCCAGAATAATTTACCAGAAATAACTGTGCACCTAGTTATAAACAACTTTTGCCTCTACTTGACCTCCTGTCAACAGGAGCACAATGGTTGCACAAGACAAGCCAGTTCTGTTGTAAGATGACTAAGCTCCATAATTATATCTTTGATGTATGTAACTCTTAGAGTAAGTTGAGTTCCATATGTTCCATAGGGATTTTTGCATATGTAACCAACCTGTTAACCCTGTATCTACTGGATTAAATCGGAGTGAAAACAAACTGCTTTCTAATTTACCTGTGATTTTTCAGATTGAGACAATGGCACCAACAGAAAAAAAAAAAAAACAACACGCTTTTGCTGCAGAAGACTATAAATAAGTGTAGTTTATTAACTCCTTAACACCATGGTGCATAATGTATATTTAATTAGATAGATTATGAAAGGTTTAAAAAATAAGCACTTTCAACATTTGATTGAAGTGATATGAGAACATTTTAGTGCAAATATATTTCTGGAAGTTCCACCAGGGTAGCTAAGAGATTAAAGAAAAAAGGCTCATGTTTGCATATGTAATAACAGGAAATGTGACTGTAGCAGTCCTTTAACTTTTAGGTCTTCAGATAGGTTTTGCAAACCCAATGTTCCCAAGAACAAAAGCCTAGGGCATGCTGCAGATCCTTTTGCTTATTGCTTGTAAAGAATCCACGTTTGACCTTCTTGAACAAGCTGGAGATTTTCTTCTCAATTTGAGAGTCAAGCTAACTCTTTTGGGTGAAAGTGTAGTTGTAATGGCACTTGAAAGTTTCAGCAGTGTAAAACAGCCTCTGAAGGAAGGTGGAGGCATAGCTTCAGACATTTCACAACTGTCTTATGATGGCCATATTTTTTTTTTTCTGATGGAGTTCAGAGATTTGTATGTGTTGGTAATTAATGAAAATACAGGATTTCTGCACTCTCTGTTTGCAAAAAATAAGGAAAGTTGATTTTTTTTTTTCTTAATTTAGACATGCATGAGCTTCTAAGAATGTCAAGTGCAAAAATGCTAGCACTTAGGAATATTTATGAGATAATTCACAATGAAAGCTCTCTTATGAAAAACAATTTAAATATTATCAAACTAGTTGCTTGAGTACTATCAGGTATGTGGTGTTGTGTGTTGTATCATTACCTGTCCTGTCCCACAATTGTGCCATCCCCTGAAACTAAGGAACAAATTTTTTGGTTTATAATACAGGACTACTTCTTAAGTTTCTGGTGTCTTGATTTGTGCTTTTTCTTTGGGTTGGGGTAATACCTAGTGTTTAGATCGCTTTGTATCTTAGAGACTTCCCTGCAGTTTCTGTGCCAAGTTTCAATTGCTACTGTTGTTTCCTGCTACAAGCATGAGGCCTTTCAGCAATTCCTTTCAGAGAGTGTTTTCTAGCCAATTTACTTAATTTCTGATGCTGAGAAATGTTCTGTGGGTTTTGTGACCCTCTTGGCCACAGTGAATAATTCATTAACAGATCACAAACAAATAGTTTGCACAGATTGTCAAACAATATTATTTTTTTAACAACTTCAACAGGAAATAGGACTATAATTAGCAGATAGGTATTTGGTAGTGCTCTGGAGCTCTTCCGTATAGGTAGTTTCACTCAGACTAGTTCAGAGTTCTAAGGATGAGATCCATTTCTGTCTAACTGCATTGTTACACTTTGAGGTTGTCAAGTAAGTAGAAGTTTCAAAGAACACCATGACTCTAGTTCTATCACCTCTAATATTAATTTTCTTCTTTTAAAGTCTAGGGATTCCATCAAGTTGGATGACCTGAAGGCAGAGGTGTCACCACGAATTTCAGCAGAAGATCTGATTGATTTGTGTGAGTTGACAGGACCTAGTCATTCCAAAACACCTATAAAGAAAACAAAGTCTAGCAAGCCAAAGCTGCTGGTGGTGGACATTCGTAACAGTGAAGAGTATCCTTCAAATCTGAGTGCCAGCCTTGCCAAATCATGCTTGTATCAATTACTTCTTCATTGTAGGCAGTGAGATGTTAGAATGGCAAACAATGGAAAGGGATGTGGTAGAGGTACAGTGGAAGGACCAAAGGCAGACATTTTTGTCATGTGTCTGGCTTGTAGAGAGGAGGACAAATGTATTTTTGCCTTCCCATTTTAAGCTGTGAGTCTACTGAAACCACTTTACACCAGTAGCATGAGTGCTTTAATGCTACTTTTTTTTTTTTTATGACAAGTGTTGTCAGTAGACCGTCCCCATTTAGTAGGACCAATAGTTTGGAAGGATGTGAGGCTTTCCAATTAAGTGGAAGGGAGATAGGGTTGATGGCTCCTGTGCTTTGCCAATCCCTCAGTGGAAAATCAATTCCTACTGAGTGCTTTCTTGCCACTGTCGGGTAATGCAGCCATATGGCTTCCCTAACTTAAGTCCACTAGTTACCTTTAGTACTTTTCTGAATATAAGCTATCTTGAAGCTATATGTATTATCAGGGTTGCTACCCTGTCTACACCTTACTCGTTTGTTTTCAAATACATAGTTCTTTGCACGTGGAGTCTTTTTTTAATTGTTTTTCTAAAGTAGTGTAGTTAAAGGGCTGGATTTGTTTGTGTTTTGGAAGGAGGAGTCTTTCTTACACATCTTTGTCAACATCTGTCTAAAAGTGGGAATAATTACAAGATTTTGTTAAGAGTTCCCTCTCACATTATATCGAGTATTTGGGAATATACTTGTTACTGGTTTGTATTATTTTTTAAGCATTGCTCCTTTCATAATAGCAAAGGTGATGTAGACGGTTCTTTTTTCGGTAAATGTACTCTTAGCTTGCTGTGTCACAAGCCATAATTCTTCATGGGCAAATAATACTAAATAGAAAAATAACAAAAGAATTGTGAGTTTTAGTCCACCTTTTACTTTGAGAAAGGATGATCATTCCTTTTATGTATGTGTATCTTGTTCTTAAATGTCACCAGTGATAGAGATTCAACAGGCTTCCAACATCTTTACCATTAGAAAAGATATTCCGGTGTCTAACAAATGCTACCAATATACTGCATGCATATTAGAAAAGTGTAAATTCTAGACAGTGAAGTGAATGGTGGATCAGTGCCAATATTTGGCTAAAACATGTAGTAAAAAATTAAATAATGTTTCAACTTTTTTTTTCATGTAGTTTCTTAAAATACCACTTTAAAGGTAATTGCATATATAGAGAAAAACACTGCTATTAACATTTTTCTCTGTTAAATATTTAGCAATATTTATGGCAAAGTATGATGAAGTAGAAGAAAAATATTTTTTAATATGTAGAGATAGATTTATATTTACATAGAAAACAGAATAGTATAATTGAACTATTCTAAATTATATTTGTTATTTTCAAGGAATTACAATTTTACTGTATGCCAGACTTGAACCTGTAATGTGATTTGCTGTGGAGATAAAACAAAACACAAAATGTAATTTTTCTTCTGCTTGCATGTATTAATTTCATGCATCAGTTAAGGATTCCAATTAAGTATAGATTCATGTGTCTGAGTACTTCGACTCTTTATGTTCTAGGCTCCAGCAAGGTCTTTACTCCGGATCTGGATTGTTAAAAACATGGTCCTCTTTATTCAGAAAACAGTAAAAATGCAGGCTGTTTTCTGAGACATCATTTCATCATCAAGTGATAACACTTTTTCGACTCCAGTTTAAAAGATAAGTCCCTGGAATTAAAAAACATAAAAGGTTATTGTTACTGCATACAAAGCTTTGATACTACCAACTTAAATAATGTTTCTATTTCTACATGCATCATTCTGTTATTAATTATTTAAGCCACTTCCTAGAAATCAAGGAGAATGCAGGAAAGCTAGTAATAATATACAATGCCTAGACTACAATCATTGCACGGAAAGGCTGTTATCTATGTACAGTAATGGATTTATTTATACTATAATCAGGATCAAAGACATTTGCCTGAATGTTTCTGTAGCTTTCTTAATAGCTTGATAATACGTTCTACTCTACTGTCATACTAATTCTATTCTAGTCCAGCAGAGTGGATTAAAAATTTCATTTATTTTAAAATTGTTTGTCTGCTATGAAGTGGCTTTATGAGGCTGTCTTTCATATTACAAAATTTTAATCTGACTTTCCATTTATATTTTTTGAATGAGAAGCATGCTGGGGAGAGAAAATCTCCATAGCTTGAACATTGCACTGTAATCACTGCGGCTTTCGTTTTGGTCTGGTTGGAGTTTAGGGTAGACTGAAATGTCCTGTCCTTTACATAATGACCTCACTTAAATCATACTACTCATCTGGTATTAGGAGGTAGGGAACGTCATTATTAAAAAGGCAGCCTGTTAGGTAGTAAAATTACCCCTTAAATGAGTTGATTTGTATGTCAGTTGTAGAAGAAAACATACAGTATCTTAGAAGGCTATTAAACTGTCATCAGTTCTGAATATACATGGGAAACCACAGGAATACTGTGTTCAGCATCCTGTTCATTCTCGCAGTGAAGAAACAGTCTTTGTCACAAAATCTCAACAAACTGTACAATAGGATCAAGCAGTCTGTATGTTAGTGGCATGTGTTTTAAAATGTGACAGACCACTATGCAGTGTTTCAAAAATACAATTGTTTCTTATGTTTTGTTGTTAGTCTTCCTCATTGTCTATGTCTGCCATGCTAAACTTCACTCTCACTTAGTTTTCAGTGTGATTTGAAAAAAGCATTGAGAGGACTTTTGACAAGTATCGGACATGCTTCATATTTCATACTAGGATGCATTTAAAAGCTAGGGCATTGTTTTCTAATGAAGCTCATGTTGCGAGGTCAAGAGCTACTAGCCCTTTTTCTTAACAGACAGTTTTGTAACAGTAGACTTTCTAATGAAAAGGTAATACATTACTGAAAGCAGTGTCTCTGGCCAGCAATTCGTCTAAGGCTTATTTCATTAAGGATGTTAGCAGAAATACTGGCAGCCTTCCATTCCTGTTATGAAAGTTCTAGTTGCATGCATATGGTCTCTCAGACTGTCACACAAAATCTTGGCCTTTTTGTTAAAGTATTAGTACTGGAATGCTTAAGATGGTCACTTAAGACTAGGGAGAAAGTGAATGACAGCAAATAAAATTTGGATCCAATATAGTTTGGTACTTACGTTGATATTAATTGTATTTCTTTCATAAAAGATCAGGTCAAGTTTCTCTGAGCAGTGAAGCATTCTCGGTGGCATGTGAGCAACTAAATCTGTCCAAAGTCATTTTCTGTCTAAACAATAATTGTTTCAGAACTTCTATCCTGGTTAGTAGCAATGATAGTGATGTGGTTATAAATGGGGTTGGGGAAAGGGGATTGACACAGATTAGTGAGGAGGGGTGCTGTAATTTTCCCTTTCAAAATAGAAATAAATTGACAACAGTGATGAATGGTACATGATCATCTTTTATTCTTTCAAAGGTTTTTAATAGCAATGTTTTTCCCACACTAACAGTGATGATCATAAAGCTGAAACTGTTAGATACATCACAAGAAAGTAATATTAATATTAACCTAAGTCAATTAAATCTTACCTCCATTTAAGGCACCTCCTTTATTAAAAAGGATTCTGAGATTTAATTATAAATTGAACCAGCTCTCTGAAACTATGGTAATAAAGAGTGACTAATCTGGATATTTGACATTGTGTATATTTTTGCAGAACTTTGCTGTTTCCCATCTCTTCAAAGGTATTCTTGTTTTTTGTTGGGGAAGGGGAGTGTTCTGGGCATGTGCATACAGTCTATGGAAGTAATTCAGAGGTTTGTCAAGGTCATGGTGCATTTCCAAATTCATAAAAAGCTAAATAGTAGTGGTCCAACTTAATTTTTATTGAAGAGAGCTTCACATTCAATATTTGTTCATAAAATCTCATTGAACGATTATCCTTTGAAAGTGAAGCACAACTAATTATATCTGAAAGTTGTTAGCATTTGTATATTGTTTGCTTTTGAATACCCAATACACACCTGCTGTTAGTCAAACTGCAGATAATAATATACACAATGCATGTCTGGGAACCTGAGTGCATGTTCACTAGAATTTCAGTTTGCATCAAAATTGTAGGGGGCTTGCGGGGGTTGGCAGGAGGTTTAAGGAAATTTTCCAATAATCCCCATTTAGTTTTGGTTCTTATTGTAAGTACTTCATTCCTTTTGCATAAAACTCCTCTGGAAGGGGTGCTCCAGCTACTTATTGGTGTTTGGCTCCTGTTATCAGACTAGAGCTGATCTGAAGTAAAATCCACAAAAATATCTATACTGTGGATATTTGGTCCTTAGCACCAAGTTTTTAATTTCACAGATCAGTTTTCATAGTGCCGTGCTATGTCCTTTATGAAACAAACAACTCTTCCTTCTGTCCTTTTTTTGTGTGTAGTGTCAGAAGTTGTTCTCTCCATATGAGTAAATAGTAAATGAGTACACTAGTACAAAAGACTGACTGTGTTGTATCACGACAGCCAGGATGAAGAGCAAGTTCATCCTACAGCTGTACATGTACCACAGATTTCTCTGCCTTTCAGATGTCCTTAACTGATCTTCCTAAGCTTTAACCGTGGGCACATTTCTGGCAGCATCAATGTTCCATTTCCATCAGCATTTACTGCAGAAGGTGATCTCATCCAGTGCCCAGCAACTGCCACTCTCCAGAGCTTTAAAGGAAGAGTTGTGGTGATTGTAGGAAACGTAGTGAAGAACACAGCTGCTGTAAGTATATTGTTATAAAATAAATGTTGAGACTTAGAAATACATCAGTGTCATTAATACAGACAGTAGTAATTAAATGCTAGTGTCTTGATAATTCAGATTAGTAACTGTGTATGATGACAGGACTTGGGGGGATTTTTTTGTTTATTTCTGCTTCTAGTCAAAAACATTTTTCTTGAAGTGATCAACAGCTGAGGAAGTTGATGTTTTGAAATAATGTAAAGTGACCTTTTTCAGCTTTAAAATCTTTATTTTGGCATGTTATAGAAGTGACATCAGCACTTCTAATGTGCATCAGTAAGATCTAGTTTTCAAAACTCACTTGGGTGTACTTTCCGTACTGTTAGGAAGCACACAAGGTAAGTAGGGTGAGGACAGGTATGTTATGAAGTCCAAAGGAAATAAGATATAATTCATATTTCTGCTAAAAAAACCCAATGTATTGATTAGATTTTTTTAGAATCATTTAGCTCATGCAGTTGTGCTCAGTGGGGAATAGTTCCTATGGAGAATAGTAACTTTCATATGATACTTTTATTGTCAGTGCCTTTAACTAGACAGGCACAATATTCAGACTTGCCTGTTCCTTTTATAACTAAATATTGGGTGGTGTTGTGAACAAACAGGATAACAAGTAGAAGCATTTCTTTCACCTTTTTTACTCTCAGGTGAAGGAAAGTTACCCTTTTTTTTTTTTTAAATTATTTAAAAATAGACACATTCTTAGGTATGGTGTACCTTAAGTTCACCACAGTTTATTTATTCAGAGGGCATGAACTGTAAGACAAGGAGAGTTGTGGATCACTAAAAGGTCTTCATGTGGTGGACAACAGAAGCATCAGCACAACAAATGTTGGAGTTTTTAATACATACAGGAAGTTGTAAGTAGTGTGAGAAATCCCTTTCATTAACCTGTGTTTCATCATTTAGAAAATTAACTTGTGATATGTATCATCTCTTAAATAGTAACAGTGATGGCATAAAAGACACTGTACAGCATATCTCACATAGCTTTAGTGAGTGAGTACATAGGTTTGTGCATGAGATCTAAGTCCATGATAAATATTTCAACATGAAAGCAATCAACTTGAATAATCACAATTGCTCACTAAATGCTGAATGCATAAATCCCCTCCTCAAAGGAACAAATGCAAAATGCATAAAATGCTAAGAGCGAGATGGAGCTGATTTAAATGTTTTACATGTTTGATGGTGGGTTATGAAGCTTCTTTCAACAATTACATTTTAAATCACTGAACATCCTAACTTATCTCAGAGCCTAACTGTTCACTAACATCCTGAAGAAACGGAACAGGAAAAAGTGCTTTGGTATTCACTAATGAGTGTTGTTATGGGAGATATCCCACATACTACCAAGACATTTTCTGGGACTTGTTTTCCAGGACCCGTCAGAAATGTTTTATCTAAAACAGAGGAACACTATGGTATTCTGTTTAAAACAACAGGAAGAAACAACCGTGTCTGACAAAAGGAAATGACAGAGTCTTTACAGTGCAGCTTGTGGGTTACACCGTAGCTAAAAGACAGTTTTCTCCTGCAGGGTAGTGGCACTCCTTATGCAAACAGATTTGTTTTGGCTTTTAAATGTTTTGTTAAATGAAAATTGAATGTTTCCTTTGCCGTGCAGCTATAGAAAACTTGCGGTGTGCTTAGTAAGTGCAAGTACTTCTGTTGTGTAGGAGGGTGCTGCCTTATCCACAAACCCAGACTTTCTGCAACTGAGATATTGTTTACCTGGAATTGACAATATTATAGCTTTCCATAAAAGATAAATGTTGCTTTGCCTCTTGATTTGCTTTTAGAATTCTTGAAATTCTAACTAAAGCGTGTAGAGTTTTAAATAACAACAAAATACTGGATTGACCAGTTTGACCACAGATTAATTAAATATTGGAGCCTAAATACTGATAGGGACTCACCACCTCTATCACACCCTTAGAGTACATATAAAACCAGCCTTAATTTGACTGTGATGATAAAATTTAGAATGCCTTTCTTTTGTGGATTATTTTTTAAGACAAATTTCAGTTTTACTCTGCATGGCTACGTAGAACTGTCAGCCACTATTCATGAATTTAAGCAATCCAAAACTATGTAGCTTGAGGCTTGACAAGAACAATAGCTATTACTTTTTGAATTTTACTAGGTAATCGAATCATATGAAAAAATACAGAAATGAATGCATGGAAACAAAAACAATTACATCCAAAGAAATATTATAAGGTGTTCAGCTTCAAATGTATTTTTTCTAAACAGAGTTATGTATTTCCAGCTGAAAAGGAATGAGCTACAAATTATACCTGCCAACGTAGAGGAGAATGTTTCAGAAGTGTTCACTGATACTTACTACATTAAAAATACGGAGATTGACACTGTTAGATGGTGTTTGGTTTAAACTTATGCAGGACTGAGAGAGGTGGGGATAAGTGTGAAAAAACACTATTTATGGGGCTATTTGTAATTAGAAGGCTGAATCTTTCAATTGCTTTTTATATTAGTGCCTACATGGCATCGTTTAAATACATTTTTACAAAAAGAAGCAAAATTAAGTGTACTCAACAGACATGTTAAAAAATGCCTTTTTCCCCTTTTCGTACTTATTTTCTATTTCTGTCTTTTGTATTTGATTTGGTGCCAGATGATAAAACATCTAAACTGGAAAGAAAATGCTGTCTAGAACTTGATAGGCGAGAGGAAAAAATGAAAACAGCACTGTTCCAGCAGGAGGTAAAGGAAGACAGCAGTGCCGCAGACTTCAGTATAGCTCTGGCTCTAGTTGAACACTTCCTTAAAACAGAATTAAAACAGAATAATCCTGCTTGTTATGCCATTTAATTTACCCTGAAACTCAAATGAATAGATTGGCTGATGTGCAAGAGCATTACTTAATGTGCCATTAGCAGCATAATAGTATAGTGGAGTTTGCACTGGGCATTGTGTGGTGGTGCTTGGCTTGCACTTCTTTGCAGTATATTCCTTCTTTTAGGCTGGTTCTCACATTGTGACAGCCTTTCTTCTTCTAGGAGATTCTGGGCATTTGTTAACAGAGCAAATACTTGTTTGTCTCTCAAAAGAGCAGGAATCATCTATGTGAATGGCATTATGCTGGAGTTAATAAACAAGATTCTACTTTGATTTTTAACTTTTAAATATGTTAAGTGCCATCTCTAAGTGAATTAAATTCCCCTTCCCCCATCCATTGATAGAGAAGTACCTTGTAAATTCTGGTATGGGCAGGGGATCATTACAGTTGGGAGTATAGTAGTTAAATAGGCAAGGAGTGCTTGCTCAACTGTAGCTGCTTTTTTTTTTTTTAGTGCATGGTAAATAGCATGTCTCCTGATTTTTGTCACTTTCAAAGTCTGAGCTACAGCAAGTGAACAGGTGGATCATAGTTATGCATATGTAAGAACAGGATTGGTTTGGGTGTTTTTTTGAAAGGGTGACATTACTGCTTCATCTCCCTTCCTTCCATTAACTTTGAGGTGCTAAGGCATTATCTGTTTCCGTTCCAAGCTTTTCGTCTAGATTAATGCAATGATAACTGGAATTAGAAGAGAAATACCTTACCTGATATTAATTCATGCTCCAGCAACTCAATTTTGACAGTGACATGCTTCTACTTGAGTGGTGTGGTCGTTTAATATATATGTGCTTTATTGTCAGTTAAATGCTAGAACAGAATATAAAGGATACTTTCATCTTTCTAATAATTAGCAACTCGTTTATTTCCCTGTCTTAATAGCAGGGAAATAAATTCTAAATTGTAACTTCTCATTGTTACATTGATTATTTTTTGTCTAGATGAGTTAATGCTGTGATAAATACGTTGTCTAGACAACTTCTACAAGTTACTGAAGCAACATAGTCATTCTTACTGCATCACAGTAACAAAAAGATAAAATATATGAATTATCTCCAAAGCAAAGGCAAACAGTCCTGACTTTCCATGAGATCTTTCTGTCTCTTTTCAGAGCAAGAGGGAGAGGGTCAAGTTTGATTCTTTTTATATAAGATATTCCTATTCTGAAAAAAAAAATACTTTTTCCTGTATGAAAGTAACATTTTTTTCTCTCAGCCCATTATCAAAGATACATTTACTCATATATGAAGGCTGAGACACATAAGTAAAAATGTCCAATTACCACTGAATTCTTGTGATTTTTGTTGTCATCTTCCTCAGGCCTTTTAAAAAGGCCTTGCCAGAGAAGCAAGTCACTGCATGTTGAAGCTGGTTTCTTGTTATAAACCTGTCTTAAAAACACAGATGGATACCCATAAAACTTGATAGGGTGATCTGAAGATTAGGTGTTGTATAGAATATTAAAGGACAGATGTGTTCATGCTTCTAAAGATGGGTACACTTAGTTAGAAGGGGCTAATGAAACTTGTAGAGTGAAAGTAAATAGAAATTAGGCAATAAACTCCTTGAGGTATTTCCATTATACATCTTTGAGATTCTACATTTTCAATATTCTCTACGGATAAGTGATTGAACAAGTGAAGTGAAAACTAAGATATTTTCTCTTTGCAGGGATGGAGAGGCTCCTTATGATTGCCAGACTGTCTTTTATTCATGTTTTGGTTTTTTGAGGCATCACCCTCCCATCTGCATTCAGACTCAGCCTACTTCAGGTGCCTCTTTGTTGCTTTTAAAGAGGAAGAGATTAAGCTTGTATTTTTTAAGAGGCTGAAAGGCTTAGTTAATCGGCAACAATCTTTCTGTTTGTATCTCTACTCAAGACATAGTGAAGTCTTTCTTATTCTGTAAAGTCTGTATTATTTAGTGCTTTTTATTATTGTAACATGCATGAAAGTTTTCCTTCATTGACAGAAAGATAACCCAACTGCTGTCGCTAGTACATTGCTCTTCACATGGCCCAAAAAAGACACTTGGGCTGCCAACCAGGAGTTATGTTACGCTGTTGTAATTCTGCCATTGTCAGTGGCTTTGGTTAGTTTGCACTGAATGCTTCAAG